TATTTATTGCACATCAGGTGTTCCTAGCCTTTGGGACGTAACAGTGAAGTAGTGTCCTATGGAGTCTGTGGTCTAGTTGTTAATAGGAGATGTGAACATACTGGGGCTGCAAGCTACTTTAAACTAGCTTTCCCTAGCAACATGAACTCTGGATTCAAGTCCTGGGTGCACATTTTAACCTCTGTCTCAGTTGCCTCATCTGTAAATCGGAGGTGACAGCATCATTGATCTCATGGGATTGGCAGCGAGGATGAGAAGTTGTATGTAAAATGCCCAGCACACAGCACACACTCAGTTTGTGCTGTTTTCACGTGCACTTTCTCCAGACATGCTGGTTTTAAGTCCCAAGACTGTTTGGAGTGGAATTCCTGGGGGGATAGGAACTGCCAGAGTTCAGTGCTGTCGGCCTAGGACATCACAGGGCCTCCATTACTCACCATCTGCATGCTGTTGGGTGATGTGTGTTTTTATTCAGAGTTTTGTATCTAGGGAGACAGATTAAAGAACTTACCAGAAAGTTCATGGAACTCAGATCCTCCATCCCCTGCCCTGCCTCCGGATCACTGTTTCTCTGGGCAGTGCATAAGCGGAATCGGGACTCGTCTCTGTGGGGTGCTCTCCTCTTCCGGCCATCAGCTCTAGGACATCTGATGGACTAGAGTTGTCTTTTAGGGCCACCATGTTAGTTCTTACTCACTGTGACTTTAATCTGGTCTTGTGCCATCCTCTCAGTTGCTGTTGTACTTGAACTCATTGTTACAGTCATTGTGTTGAGGGTCTTTCTCTTTTTTTTTTATGTCATTTTGTCAAGTACAGTGTCTTTCTTCAGGAACTGGCACTGGAGTGGGGAGAGCTCAACTCTCGGCTTGTAGTTTTGATCTCTTGCCCAGATGGCAGGAGCATGAGTGCAGAAGCCATTCTTAGCTCAGTCACAAAGAGTGAAATGAACATGGTACAGTCTGGAGTGCCAGCTGCCTCCTGGAGCTGACCGTTTGACCTGTGCATAGAAGTTTTAAGAGACCTACTGATAGCCCACATCTGTGTAGCACTTTTTGAGTTTAGGATGATGTGTTAACATACATTATCTTATCTTATTAAATGGTATTTCCTTACAGCCTTGTATTGTGAACCATGCAAGGATCTTTCTCTTTCCAGAATTAAGAGGTTAAGTGATTCGTTTGAGGTTACCCGAGCTCAAAGGCAAGCATTTAGTCTCCGGGTTTCTGATTCCCAAACACATGGTCTTTCCTGCCATGTTGCACAATTTAGTCTCCTTTCCTGCCGACCAGTTCCTGTGCAGTTCATTTTAAGGTCTATGCAGAGGGGAGGTTGCTGCTTTTTTGTAATCCTCATCAGTAAAGATTCTAAAATAAAACAGAAGTCATTGTTATGTGGTGAGAAATGTGCAGAGTCCTGCTTTTTCTTGATAGGATTTCTTTGCTTAGTGCGACTTGTCCGTCTGTGTCAGTGGCCAATGCAGGAGTGGTCCCAGGAGTCTCACCTTTCACCACCTCTAAATGCAGAGGGGAGCTCCTCTCCTGGGCCTTGCACGCTCAGCACAGCTGAAGGAGGAGTTTAGCCGCATAGTCTCCACGTTCCTATACTTGCAGCTTCTGTCGAGGTCAGAGGTGGAAGAAAGATGCCACCAGGGTTGTGAACTCTTCATTAGGGAGAAACACTCTGACAGTGATTCTTACCCAGCTAACTCAATTGCTAGAATGAAAGGAATCAGGGATGTTTTAACTTTTCATTTATTTATTTATTTTTTAAATTTTATTATTTTTGTGTGTGTATACCATCAAATCAGATCTGACTGGTACAGGAGGAGATTGTTCCTCCCTCTCCAGCAGAGCATCTGGTGGATTTGAACCGTGCACCTCTGGGATTGCAGTGCAGCTTCTTGCCACTAGGCCACCAGAATTCGCCGGGTGTTTTAACTTTTTTGTGTGTAAGGGTGTAAATAGAAGACAAGTGATGTCAAATTAGCAATCCCAGTTATAACACAGTACACGCAGTCACACAGCAACCTCCTCCACCCTAATCCTCTACTGGGTTTTTTTGTTTGTTTGTTTGAGAACTTGTGCAAAATGTGTCCATATTATTCTAGGGACTATAGACTAAAAACAAAACCACTCATTAATACTGAGTCCAAGACAACTCATACCTGACCCTCCATTGGATTTCCAAGGCTCTGAATCACTTGGGAGGAGACTGCCGCAGCACTGTGGTGCCAAGAGTCTCACCTGATGCCACCTGTAAATGCAGAGGAGACTGGCACCGACAGCCTCCCACTTAGATCTGTAAGTTTATATGTAATGTTTCCAACCTCTAAAGACAAATAATGCATTTATGGTGCTACTAATACTATAAGGCATTGATAATAAATACTGAGAAGAAAATGAGGCATTTGACTTAGTGAGAACCCACTTCTGATGAAGTCTGAGCAGAATCTCTCTTAAGTGGGTGGGCAGCCTGTATTAGGAGGGCTGCTGGTTTCCACTGAAAGATGTTCTCAGTGGTGCTCGTAACATCCTCCCATCCTGGGGATACTGGGGTGTTGACTGGCTTAAAATGTTTTTCTCTAATGTAATTGCTGTGCAAGGGCACGGGAGGTAGGATCCCAACAACAATGGGAAACAGTATTCAGCTCTGAACCACATTGCCTGCCTTTTTCTGGGTCAGTCCGAGGTTCTGATTCCATGGGAAGTGGCCTCTTTGGGGATAGGACCCTTCGGTTGGGGTGACTCCATTGTTGCTGGGGAACAAATGTGTGCTAACCTCTAGTGATCACTAGACTGCTTGTGTCTGCACTGGTGAAGAGGCCAGCTTCTCTAGTGGCTGAGAGCTCCTTTCTGGTGACCATATTCTTAATCTTCTGAGTGTATTTACATGGCTTTTTGTTCATTTGTTTTCCAGTTAACAGCCCAGTCCACCAGTGTCCTTTGTGCCTATTCACAGGCTCTCAGTGCCAGCCTCTCCTGAGCTTTATGTAGTCCTGCTACACGTTTGCTCCAGGAAACAAAGTCTTTGCCAAGTGGGCTCATCCAAGGAGGGTTGTTTCCTTTTTTGGACCTTCCTCACTTATGGCCTGGTAATTGTGTCTCCCTGTGCAGATGTCTGTCTGGTCTGTGGTGTTTGGAGGGATTATGCATGCTCTTTTTAGTAGAGAGATAGAACTAGGGTCAATTTGATTGGTTTAAGGTTAATCTTGATGTTGTGATTTCCTAGACTGTGAGTCATAGTCGACCTGATGGGACATAGCAACAAGTGGTGCCAGGAGCCCTGCTGTTGTAGTGCTTGGATGCTCAGTTGCTAACTGGAAGGTTAGCAGTTTGAACTCACCAAGTGCTCCATGGGAGAAAGATATGGGAGTCAGCTTCAGTAAAGATTAAGCCTTGGAAACCCTATGGGGCAAAAGACCAATGATGCCAGTCTGGAGACTAAGGTGTGCCTGATCCAGGCCATGGTCTTCCTAAGTACTTGCTGTGCATCAAAAGGCTGGACAATGACTAGAGATGATAGAAAGATAATTGATGTCTTTGAGTTTTGAATGTATCATGGACTGCTAGAGCAAAGAGGTTCGTCCTGGAGAGGGTGAAACCAGGCTGCTCCTTGGAGGCAAGGATTCTGAAGCTCTATCTGACATACTTTGCGCATGTTCCAAAGAGGGACCAGACCTTGGAGAGGCACATCATGCTTGGGAGGGTAGAGGGACAACGCAAGGGAGGAAGACCCTTGATGAGATGTTATATTGACTCAAAGACTGGGGTAATGGGTGTAGGTGTGTTGGAGATGATGAGATTGGCTCAGTATAGAGCAGGGTTCACAGCTGTTGTACGTAGGGTCACTATGAGTCTCAGGCAACTCGACAGCACTTAACAATATCACTGGGTTGATAGGAGTTGGAGTTGACTCCATGACCGTGAGTTTTGAGGTGATAGTCTTCCAGAAAATCAGCCCCTGGGAACCCTGTGGAGCACGGTCCCACTTTGACTGTGGGGTCATGAGGGGTCACATGAATCAGAATTTACTCAACAGCATGATAAAGTGGACTGCCAAAAGAATATGAACTGCTGGAAGAACGAATCTGTCTTGAAGGAAGTATTACCGGGATGCTCCTTGGAGACAAGGATGGTGAAACTTCATCTCTCATGCTTTGGGTGTATTGTCAGGAAATGCCCGTACTTGGAAAAATATGCTGGAAAAAGTAGTGGATCAGTCAAAGCAAGGAAGACACTCCATAAGAAAGATTGACACTGTAACTACAGCATTGGGCTTGACCATGACGGAGACTGTGAGGATGGTCAGAATAGGGCAGGGTTTCAGTCTGTTCACAGGATTGCTGTGAGTTGTAGTGGACTTAACAGCACCTAACAGTAAAAAGCCTCATAGGAGTTGGGCATCCCGTAGTCTGGGAGTGATCCGCTGTTCTCTGGTGGGATTTGTTGAGTCACAGGAGGTGCCTCAGCTCTAACCAAAGGGTTAAAAATGCAGTCTGTAGGAAATCACTGCATGGAGAGGGCTATACTGAGTGGCTGGCCACGTCATGAATACGTGAAAGAATTGTCCATGCTGTGGTTGAGTCTGACTTGCTGTATAATTGTAACGTCACAGGGGACCTGCCCCATACCATTTTCTGGGCTGTAATCTTTATAGGAGCAGCTCACCAGTCTATTTGCTAGTGGGTTCGAATGCTAGCCTTTCAGTTAGCAGCCAGGAGTTTAAGCACAGTACCACTGAGGCTCCTTCAGACAGTAAAGTTAATACTGTAGATTAACAGTAGGCAGTAGAGAGGTTTTCCCACAATGAGCATCATCAGCTGTCCCTTTCGTCTAGCTCTGCATGGGATGTGGTATCTCCTGCAAGACTTAGACCCTAGAGCATGCACTGCTGGAGGCTGAACTTAGTGGAGGCCGGCCTGCTGGGAGGGGGAGAGGGTGGGTTTGAGTGAGTGTCACCAATGGTGGTAACTGTGCTCTGCTCTCATCCTCAGGTGAGCGATGGCAGGCGCTGGTGAGCGCAAAGGCAAGAAAGATGACAATGGCATCGGCACCGCCATCGATTTTGTCCTCTCCAATGCCCGGCTGGTGCTGGGGGTGGGGGGAGCGGCCATGCTGGGTATTGCCACGCTGGCAGTTAAGCGGGTAAGTGCACTCACATCAGGACCAGGATGGGCAGGGCAGTGAGGCAGCCTCTGGGAAGGGGAGCCTGGTTATGTGGTATCGCTAGATGAGAGCTTATGAATTCTGCTACTAGAACTCTGCGCTGGAGAAATTGCCGGAGATACAAATAGAAGGCAGCTATCCTAGTGAGTGAAACATGGCAAGTAACCAAAGTGTCCTGCCTGTCACCTCTGACACCAGCAGTGCCCATGCAGCTTTCTGCCCCTGGCACCCAGAGTTCAGTCAGACCTCACACTTAGAGGACGTGGCTCCGGAGGCCACATGACATCCTCACTTCTAGGCTTCACTTCACCCAGGACGCTCTGTAGGCCACTCACACTACTCCTTTGGGTTCAGTAATTCACTGGGACACCTCACCCAAGGTACTGTACTTCATGTGCAGTTTTGTTAGAGGAAGAAAGAATGTAGAGAGACCTACGGGGAGGCTTAACATCTAGAAACTTCATGCCCCAGGGGATGCCCCCCCTTGAGCCTCTGTGTCTTTTACCAGCCAGGAAGGCTTGGGGCTTCCCTGTCCAGAGCCTTTAGGATGCCATTACCTAATCAGAGTCATTGGGTCAAACCCCTCGTCTCCTCTGAAGCCAAGTAATACCAGCCAAAGTAGGTTTTTTAAATTAATTGTTATTTGAATGAACATTTATAAATCACAGTTTGGTTTTTCATACACTCACAGACATGAGTTGTTGTTATTATGTGCCATCGAGTCGCTTGGGACTCATAGCGACCCTATGTATAATAGTCCTAAACCCTGTTCTGTCCTGTGCCAATACCCCAGTCACTGAATCAATCCACCTCATAGAGGGTCTTCCTCTCCTGTGCTGTCCCTCCACCCTCCCAAGCATAATGTTCCTCTCCAAGGACCGGTCTCTCCTCACAACATGTCCAAAGTATGTCAGATGAAGCCCCAGAATCCTTGCCTCCAAGGAGTAGCCTGGTTTAACCCTCTCTAGGATGAATCTGTTTGTTTTCTTGGCAGTCCAGGGTACATTCTATACTCTTCACCAGCACCACAGCTCAAAGGCGTCAATTTTCCTTCTATCCTCCCTAGTCATTGTCCAACTCTCTGATGCATAACAAGTGATTGCAAAGATCATAGCCTGTATCGGATGCACCTTAGCCTCCAGAGACCCAGACATGAGTATAGCATTAAAAAAATTCCTATTGATTAATTAATTACAGTGTCTAATTAACCATATTTTGTGTATTATCTTTCCTTTACCTTACCTGTTTATTAACTTCCACTGCCCTCTTCCTTTCCATCCCTGTTACCTTTCTCAGATTGCTTCTTTGTCTGAACCTTTCTTTAGCTTATTATAATAGTGTCCTTATACCATAATTGGGGTTTTTGTGACTTTTTTGTCATAATCTGTTCTAGACTTATCCATGCTGTACCATTATTTCACAAATTTTTTATCTTTTTTTTTTTTTAAGAAACTCATAATTCTTGTGTGAATGAACCACAGTTTTTTAGCCATTCATCTGTTGATAGACCACTTGGGCTGTTTCCAGCTCTTTGTTATTGAAATATTGCCGTAAACCTGGATGTGTATGTTACTTTGTGTGTCCATTCTTATTTCTTTGGAATGTATACCTGGTAATGGGATTGCTGGATCAAGTAGTATTTCTATTCCCAGCTTTCTAAAGAAATGCTAAACTGCTTTCCACAGTGGTTGCACCAAATCACATTTCCATTTTCCACCACCAATCCATTTGTGAGTGGATTGCATTTCAGTGTCAGGCAAACAAAGATTCTTATCACTGGATCTTTGGTAGCGTCATGATGGATGGAGAGTAGCTGCCAACAGCTTCCTCTTACTTGCTTCCACAGTTAACACCCGTGGTACCAGCTGTCAGGAGATCAGGAGATGTATTGCACTGGAAAAATCTGCAGTTAGGGACCTCTCCAAATTATTGAGGAGTAGTGATGCCAGTTTGAGGACTAAGGTGCATCTGATTTAGGCCATGGTCCTTCTGATCTCTTGCTATGCATCTGAGAATTGGACAGTGAATAAGGATGACAGAAAAAGAATTGATGCCTTTGAGCTGTGGTATTGGAGAAGAGCACTGAACATCCCATGGACTGCCAAGAGAAGAAACAGATATGTTTTGGAGAGGGTGCAGCTGGAGTGCTCTTTGGAGGCAAGAGTGATGTGACTTTGCCTCACATACTTTGGGCATGTTGCTAGGAGAGACTATCCCTTGGAGAAGGACATGATGCTGGGAACGGTGGCGGATCAGTGAAGGAGAGGAAGACCCTCAACTAGGTGGATTGACGTGGTGACTGCTGCAATGGGCTCTTGTGTGTCAGAAAGTGTGGGGATGGTATAGGATAGAACAAGGCTCAGATCTTTGGTTCATAGGGTCGCTGTGAGTCATACGGGACTCAGTGGCACTTAACTGCTGGCAGTGTAATACAAGTTCCATTCTCTCTAACAGCTGGCAGTGTAATACAAGTTCCATTCTCTCCGTACCCTCACCAGCATTTGTTGTCTTGTTGACCTTTCTGTTGCTGCTGGTTTGAGATGTTATCTCACTGGAATTTTGATTTACATCTTTGTAATAGCAACTCCTTGGCCAGCTGACTGGAAAAGATCCATGTTTATTCCCATTCCAAAAAAAATGACCTGACAAGAGTGTGGAAATTATTGAACAATATCACTGATATCACACATTAGAACAATCCTGCTGAACATTATCTAGAAATGACTGAAATAGTACATTGACAGAAAACTACCAGAAATACAAGTTGGATTTAGAAGAGGTTGTGGCACTAAAGACAATATTGCCAATGTTAGATGGATCTTGGCAGAAAGGAAAGAGTACTAGAGAAATGTCTGTACGTGTTTTATTTACTGTGCAAACACATTTGACATTATGGATCACAACAAATTATGGCTGACATTGAGGAAAATGGGAATCCTAAAACACTTGATTTTGCTTATGCAAAACGTGTACTTGGACTAAGAAGCAGTCCTCAGAACAGAGCAGGGAAACAATGCATGGTTCATAATCAGGAAAGGAGTCTGTCAGGGATGCATCCTGTTTCCATGCCTTTTCAATCTGTATGCAGAACAGATCATTTGGGAGGCAGGGCTGTATGAGGAAGAATGCGGCATCAGGATTGGAGGAAGACTCATCAACAACCTACGTCAGGAAGATGACACAACCCTGCTTGCTGAAACTGAGGAGGACCCGAAGCGTTTGCTGTAGAAGATCAAGGACTGTAGTCTTCAATATGGATTGAAGCTCACCATCAAGAAGACAAAGATTCTCATGACTGGGCCAATTGGCAGTACTAGGACAAGAGATTGAGGTTGTTAACCATTACTGCTTTCTCTACTCCACAGTCAAGAACCTCTCAAGAGTACTGAAAAGCAGCTATGTCAGTTTAGAGACTAAGGTGCGCCTAATCCAGGCCACGGTCTTCGCAGTTACTTGCTATGCATCAGAGAGCTGGACACTTGACTAAGGATGACAGAAGAAGAATTGATGCCTTCGAGTTGTGCTTAGAAAACAATAGGTCTGACTTGGAGAGGGTGAAACCAAGTTTCTCCTTGGAGGCTAGGAATTTGAAGCTCTGTCTCACATACCTTGGGCACGTGGCCAGGAGAGACTGGTCCTTGGAGGAGGACATTATGGCTGGAAGGACAGTGGGACGATGCTGGAGAGGAAGACCATGGATGAGATGGATTGATACAGTAACTGGGGCAATGAGGGCTGGTGTATTGGAGTCGGTGAGACTGGCTCAGGACCAGGCAGTGTTTAGAGTTACTGTACAAAGGGTTGCTATGGGTAGCAGGTGACTCTGGCACATAACAACAGCAATAGCTAGTGATCTTGAGCATTTCTTCATTTGTTGTTTATCCGAATGTCCACTTTGGTGAAGTGTCAGGGTCCTCTGCCATTTTGTTCGTTGATTGTCCTGTCCTTGTTGAGGTATTGGAGTTTTCTATAAATTTTAGAGATGAATCCCTTTCAGAGTTGTGTCATTGCCAAATATTTTTCCCCCAGTCTATAGGTTCTGTTTTTACTCTTTTAGAGAAATCTTTTAATGCATGTAAGGATTTAATCTTTAGGAGGTCTAAATCACCAAGCTTATCTTGTTGATTATGCATTATTGCCATAGATTGAGATTCCAAGTTTGTCCTAATATTTTCTTTGATGATCTTTTTTTAGTTTTAGGTTTTATGCCTATATCTTTGTCCATCTTGAATTAATTTTTGTATATGGTGTGAAGTATGGATCTTGTTTCAATTTTCTGCAAACAGATACCAGTTTTGTCATCACCATATGTTAAAGAGGCTTCCTTTCCCCAGTTTAAATGGATTTAATTTAAATGGTCAAAGACAAGTTTTCCATAGGCAGCTGGATTTCTTTCTAGGTTCTCATTTCTATTCCACTGGTGTATGTATCAATTACTGGATCAGACCTGAGTGGTTTTGAGGGCCATGACTGTGCAGTAGGTTTTTTTCCTCTTTTAGATTTCTGAACTCATTCACTTTACGTGTAAAAAGTTATCAGAAAACGTAAGGCCTCCAAGTTTATTTTTCTTCTTCAGTATCACTTTGCCTACCTGGGTTTCTCTCTCTTTTATATGAAGTTGATGATTATGTTTTCCATCTGGATTGGAATTGCATTGTATTGCTTTTGATAATTTGACAATTTTCACAATGCCAAGTCTTTAATTTATGAGCATGATTTTTTTCCCCATTCATGTTGATCTCTCAGTTTTCTTTGTATGTCTATTGTATCTCTGGTTTGATTTTATTCCTAAATAATCTCATCTTCTGGATGGCTATTGTAAATGGCATCGTTTCTCTTATTTCCTTGTCAGAATTCTCTTTGTTACTGTAGAGGTATCTCACTAATTTTATACTCTGCCCCTCTGCTGAGTTGATCCATTAGATCCAGTAATTTTCTTGCTGAACCTTTAGGACTTTTCATTTTAAAAAATCATCTGCAAATATAGTTCTTCTTCTTTTTCAATTTGGATGATTTTTATTTCCTTTTTTCTTTCCTAAAGCGCTGGCTAGGCCTTCCAGTGCATTATTGAATAGGAAGGTGATACAGGACAACCTTACCTGGTTCTGTTTGCAAGAGAAATGTATTCAATATATAGCTCTCCATTGGGAATGCTGTTGGCTGTTAATTTCCAAGCGATAGTTTTCCTGGCCATGCTCAACTCCTTCTCATTAATACAGACCTTCTGTTATGGTTTAGCCAACAAAAGGCCTTCAGATATGGAAGGCCCAGAACAAAGGCCTTAATAGACTAGAAGAACCCAGACCCACTGCTGTCAAACTGATGCCAGGTCACTGCAGTCCTCCTGTGGCTTTCTGAGGTGGTGAGTCTACAGGGAGAACCTACCGGTCTTTTCTCCTTTGGATCTCCTTGGTAGACTTGAACTCCTGACCTTCCAGTTGGCATCCCACTGTCATTCACTGTGTCACCACAGCTACTGAAGGCAGTATTCGACAGGTCAGGAGAGCTCATTGCTGTTGAGTCAGAACCGACTCGTAGCTGACCCTCCAGTTGGGTTTCTGAGGCTGTGGCTCAGTCACACGGGAGGACATTGCTCATCTTCCTCTTGGGAACCACTGGTCGGGTCAAACCATTAGAAAGGCGTGGCTGTCTTTACCTAGTTTATTGTCTCTATCTCTCTACTTGAGGACAGCAATTTTGATCTTTTTGGATTATTGCTCTAGAATATAGTAGCCATTCAGTAAGTATTTCTTTTTATTTATTTAATTAAAAAAATTGAGTGATAATTCTTGAACAAATGAACATGGTACTTCCATAAGGTACAGTGTTAAAAGTCAGAAAAATGTTGAGGTATTCTTAATGGTAAGATGATATGATCAAATGATGTTAAGTGAAAAAAACTGGGTTTCAAAAGTCTTATTTAGAGAATGATCCTAATTACATAAATCTTTTTCAGGATTAAATATATAAAAATGTTAATGGTTCTCTCTTAGTTATGATGCTACGACTCAGTTTGTTTCTCCTGGATATTATTCAGTATTTCCCGAGTTTTACTCCATGGAACAAAGTACTGCGCAGTTGTGCTTCAGAGATAGTGTGCATTCAGTTCCAGACCCTGCCTGCAGGAAAGCCAATAAGTTCAGGAAAGCCAGTCACGTGTAGTTTGTTTGTTTCCCAGTGTTTTACGTACATAACACTGTAGTAGTAAGGTTCAACCTTAGGGAAATGTTTGAAATACTGTGCACATTACACAATGTTGTCTCTATTGTGACACAAATAGTGAGCACATACTTTTAGGGAAATGGTACCAGTGGACTTAAAATTCTGTGTCTGTGAAGTGCAGTTCAACACCCACTTGTGTAAAGTAGGAAAAATCACAGTTATTAAAAAGCAGAAGTTGAACTTGCTAGAGTAGCACTGCCTATGTGGGGAGAGGAGGAACGTGGGAAGCGGATGTTAAAGGTGGAAGGAAGTTGTGTGTCCTGTGTCCCCTCTGCCGTTTCAGATGTATGACCGAGCAATCAGTGCCCCTACCAGCCCCACCCGCCTGAGCCATGCTGGGAAGCGGAGCTGGGAAGAGCCAAACTGGATGGGCTCCCCCCGCCTGCTGAACAAGGACATGAAGACAGGCTTGAGCCGGTCCCTACAGACCCTTCCCACTGACTCCTCAGCCTTTGCCCCAGGTGAGACACTGGAGCACCCTGTCTGGGGCACGTCTTGGCCTTTGAGCACTACGTTCCACAGGTACTTTGAGCACCTGTGTGCAGCGCTAGCACCTGCCTTTGGTGCCAGACCCTTCTTTCTTGGGCTGGGGTGGCTGTGGACTGAGCAAGCATAGAAAGCGCTCACGTGCCTCTCTCTCTTGCCTTGGCAGATACTCCCTGCCCTCCCCGGCCCAAGCCATCGGCCAGGAAGGGCCAGGTAGACTTGAAGAAGTCACGGCTCCGCATGTCCCTGCAGGAGAAACTTCTTTCTTACTACCGGAACCGGGCAGCCATCCCGGCTGGAGAGCAGGCTCGGGCCAAGCAGGCCGCTGTGGACATATGTGCTGAGCTCCGGGGCTTTCTGCGGGCCAAGCTGCCGGACATGCCACTTCGAGACATGTACCTGAGCGGCAGCCTCTACGACGACCTGCAGGTAACGAGGGCGTTCTTGCCCAGGGTGGGCCAGGTGCTGACCAAGGTGCTCCCCAGTCATGCTGCTCAGAGTGTCCCAGTCCTCCGATCATGCACACAGCCTTTGGGGATCGGACTCGGGGTGTGTTGTTGCCTCTTTAACCCTTTCTCAGTTTTGGTTACCATACTTAACTGTGTTAGACGTTGTGAGCGTCTTCTCCAAAGTCTCCTTTCTTGTATTCCCTGCCCTTGTTTCCTCTCTCCCTGCCATGGAGGACTGTGTGCATGTCTGTGCCAGAGGCCCTGTGACCTCGCTCTGGAGGGTTGACACACTGGCGTGATTCCCCAGTGCTGTCCTAGTGTGAAGGATAGTGGGAGCTATACTTGGGGAAGCACGGGTCTTTAGTGGACGGAACCCCTCACAACCTTTCCTCCTCCGGCCCGACAGGTGGTGACGGCCGACCACATCCAGCTCATTGTGCCCCTGGTGCTGGAGCAGAACTTGTGGTCCTGCATCCCTGGCGAGGACACCATCATGAACGTCCCCGGCTTCTTCCTGGTGCGTCGTGAAAACCCAGAATATTTTCCTCGTGGTAGCAGTTACTGGGACCGCTGTGTAGTTGGGGGTTACCTCTCCCCCAAAACTGTGGCGGACACTTTTGAGAAAGTGGTGGCTGGCTCCATCAACTGGCCGGCCATTGGCTCCCTCCTGGACTATGTGATCCGCCCAGCACCTCCCCCAGAAGCCCTGACGCTGGAGGTGCAGTATGAGCGTGACAAGCATCTTGTCATTGACTTCCTGCCTTCAGTGACTCTTGGTGACACTGTGTTGGTGGCCAGGCCACACCGACTAGCCCAGTATGACAACCTGTGGCGGCTGAGCCTGCGTCCTGCTGAGACGGCACGCCTGCGGGCCCTGGACCAGGCCGACTCGGGCTGTCGCTCTCTGTGCCTCAAAATTCTCAAGGCCATATGCAAGTGCACTCCCGCCCTGGGCCACCTCACTGCCAGCCAGCTCACCAACGTCATCCTCCACTTGGCCCAGGAGGAGACTGACTGGTCTCCTGACGTGCTGGCCGACCGTTTCCTGCAGGCGCTGAGGGGGCTCATCAGCTACCTAGAGGCTGGAGTCCTGCCCAGTGCCCTAAACCCCAAGGTGAACTTATTTTCAGAACTCACCCCTGAAGAAATAGACGAGTTGGGATACACTCTCTATTGCTCATTGTCTGAGCCGGAGGTGCTGCTGCAGACGTAGGGTAGGTGAAGGCCAGAGTCGGCGTTAGGTGGTCAGGCCCGGGATTCTCCATCTGAAACATCTGGCTGCAGAGTTGGTGCCTCACAGGGTCCCTACGTGCCTCCTGTCTTGCTGGTCTTTGCTGATTTGAATGCAATCTCTTGGTCTCTTACTTTTTCACCCAGCCCATTCTCTTTTTGTTACCAAACACTGTGCTTCCCGCTCCTGCCCACCCCTCCAGGCTGTGTGTTCGGAATGAGTTGGAAGGTGGAGCGCTGACCAGCATGGTGGAGAGCGCTTGGTGTTTTGCGTTTTGCCTGGGCTCCTGCTTCTGTCCGTCCTCTGCCCTGGTGCCTTCTCCTCTTTCAGTGTCTTGTTTGCCATCTCTCTTCCTGTTCACACCTTCCGTTGTGCTCCTTTCCCGGAGCACATCTCCTTACTGAAGATGCTGCTTCTGCTTGCGTGTCACTGGAGAGCTGTGGTGGTGGGATTCCCAGCAGAACTCGAGAGAGGCCTGCCGGGACAGTGTTGAGGGCTCCTGGGGTCAGGCGGACGCTTTGACCTGGAGAGGAAGCCCATTGCCCTCACCTGACCAGCTCGAGCGTGTGTCCTGACGCCATCTCCTGGTACCCTGACCCACACGGGAGAGGGGCGCACGATCATCTGCGTGCAGACTGCTCAGAGGCAGTGTTTCTGAGGGGCCGTCAGTGAGTGGCATGGGAGGACTGGAGATGGTGGAGAGTGTCTGCATCTCCTTATGTGGCTCCTGTGCCCAGCGCTGCTGTGGGCTGGGCTTCCCCAAAGACAGGGAAGGATGGGGTTCCAGAACAGCTCCTTACCAAGAATGCTGTTCTTCACTCCCTCCCCCCTTGCCTTATGCCTGTTAGGACAAGGCCTTTAAAGAGATGCAGGCCAAATGGTAGAGAGCTCTGGTAGCCTAGTGGGGAAGGAGCGGCGCTGCTGACGAAAAGGCACGTGATTCGAATCCAACAGCTGCTCCGTGGGAGAGAGATGGGCCGTGTCCTCCTGTGTGATTCACATTCTGTGAAAACCTGCTGGAGGGTCAGCACACAACAACAGCTGAACTGTAGAGGCTGAAGGGAGGCCACCAGAAGCTGAATGTCACCTGGAAAATCGTGTCAACAGTGAGAGACTCAGCTGGCCACAGAGCCTGCGTTTTTAGGACGCAGCCTTAGAGCAAGAACAGGCCCAATAGCCAGCTTCCGTCCCAAGCCGGCCACAGCATCAGGAGCGGCCTGAACTCTCCTGGCACTGCCACAGGCCTCCGGACAGCCAAGCACAGACCTCGTCCTGCCCTGCCTCGCCCGCACTGGGGAGCCCGGTGCTACTGGGAAGAGCACACGGAGGAACCAATGGAAGGAGGGCGTGCTGCGTCCTCCTCTTCCCTGCTGCTAATGTTGCACTGTTCATTGCAATGCAAAGTATCCTGAGGCTGGGGAGGAGTGTTCAATACACATTGTCAGTGTGTCTTGTTTTGTGGGTTTTTTTCTTTCCCCTGTTTGCAGCAAGAAATTGCTAAATTCTGTTTCTCCGTGGCCTTCAGTATTTTGTCCTCCCCTCAAGTCTTGTTACACTCTCCCATTCCTGCTACCTCTCTGAGAACCTGATGATGCACTCCCCAGTCAGCTCATCCCTTTGAAGTGATGGTGACGGGAAGTGTCTAAATAGCGTGGAAGCCTCAGCTGCCCTTTGTATTTGGGGTACAGAACCCTGTGCTCTAAGGAATTCTAGGAGACTTAAGAGCTAGGGTTACCCTTCTGTTCTTCCTCTTTGCTTCCCATAAACATACTAGGGTGCCTTACTTTTGTCTGTGTGAAGTGTTGAGAGAACGAGAAAGATCACTCTTAGAACACTGATAGATTGTAGTGTAGAATCTTGCCACTCTGGCTGTTCGTTAGAATAAAATGGGAGTTTTGAAAAAAATAAATGTGCCAAGTTACCTGGGGAGATGAGAGCAGGGGTGTGGGTGAATTTGGTGGCTTTGCACCTGCCTGGCGCCCCTCAGAGGGAAGAGGAAGGACTGGGGAGCATTGTGAATGCAGAGATGGAGTGTGTACTCAGACCTGCCACTCCCCAGACCTCTCAAAACGGTGGAAGGAGAGCTCAGAAGAGAAACCATTTTTTTGGAGACTGAACTCCAAGTTATCAAATCCCCCATTTTCCTAAGAGTATTCTCTTCGAGTCATCCACACCTTCAAACGCCATTGTTTGGCCATTTTGTAGGCAGGACGCCCCTAGAGGTCCTGCGGTCCCGACCCCACCTGCTGAGCTGGTAGGTTGTCCCTGAGCACCGCACGCTCTCTGCTGTTCTCCTGGAGGGGCCTCAGTGCTTTGAGATTACTGGATGGAGGAGGACGATGTCATGCTGCCTCAGTTTTACCTTTTTTTTTTTTTAAAAAAAAAAAAAACCACCTCGGGGAAGAATGGATCTGCTTTTCCTTGCCCCTTGCCCTTTTTTGGTGACTCACCTTTGCCTGAAGTAACAGCATCTGCCCCCAGTTCTCTTACTGGAGGGATTTTTTTGGCACCATTTGTTAGCAAACCACATACTGAGTCCAAGTTTGAAAAAAGACTCATTATCCCCAAAACCTAACCAGAAAAGTTCTTCCCTGTACCCCTTCCTAAAAATGGAAATGAATTCAGAACAGTAATGTCATTCTTTTACAGTTGGTTGAGACTTTTTTCCAAAATAAATTGTCAAAGATCATGTTTGAAATAGTTGTGTCCACACTCCAGATGAGCTCAAGTTGGTTTTGCTGAACTAGCTTCAAGATCACCCATGCTCTGAGAAATCATGCCGAGGTTTTCCACATCTGCTGTGGTCCTTGGGACCATGGTCCTGGCCGTGAACTTCACTGGTGGTTTTCTGGATCTTCAGTCAAGAGTGGGAGCCACCTAGGTAAGCCTGCAGCAGCTGTGAAGCAGTGGCCCTGCTGCACTGCTGAGAGATCAGGAATTACAGGTCACCGCAGTCAGGATGGCGGTGGTCATCACCTCCTAGACTTTAGATTCATTGTCCCGACACCAAGTCCACAACTTGCCTTCTAACCACTTGTCAGCTCTTTGGGGGCAGTTGAAGTGCACCATTGATTCATTTGGAGCCTGTCTTGGCTAAAGCCATTAAGAACAGCTTATACCTGAGGCCCAGAGAATAACTTGAGAGAAATGAGAACTGGGAAATGGCCAGTAGCTTTGGCTTGGGTGCTAAGAAACACCGTCCTGGGTCCCCACTTTCCTCCAGGACCTTTTAAGGCCTTGCCTGGGGTCCCCTTAAACGGTGAACTGGACACAGTGTTGAAGGAGTCGCACTTTCGGGACCTCTGCAGTGCAGCTTAGGAGTACGCTTCAGTCTCAGTCTGGAAGCACTGGAAGTGTCAGGTCACAGCAAAGTGACGTGACTGTGGGTCCTGCTGACTTCAGGGGACTTTAATGTCCTAGAGGTGAGACAGTTGTTCTCCCAGGGGAGAGAGGAACCACACTATCCCAGGATGCCTTGCATTTCTCAAAGGTTTCATAAATTGTTGGTTTCGTCAGTCTTTAGGGAAGTCCCTTGAGGAAGCTGGATGACATAATGGAGACCTTGAGGAAGCTGGATGACATAATGGAGACCTTGAGGAAGCTGGATGACATAATGGAGACCTTGAGGAAGCTGGATGACATAATGGAGACAGAGCAGGGGGATAGGGAGGTCAGGATCAGAAGATGACAACAGTTCTAATAATAGCAAGGACAGCCACTGGGCTAGGTGCCTTCTGGCCAGGCCCTGACTGCATTATTGGGAGGAGGATGCAGTCCATTGATAGCTTCATTTTACAGATGAGAAATTGAAGCTCCGAGAGGTTCAGTCACTTAGCTAAAGTGACCCAGTTAATACATGATAGGCCCACGACTCCTCTAGCTTTGGGCCTCAAATCTGTCTTCTTACCGTTAACCAAGGACTCTTGGCATGGTGCAAATGGCTAATGTGTTTGGCTGCTAACTGAAAGGTTGGTCAAACCCACCCTGAGGTGCATAGAAGAAAGGCCAGGTGATCTTTGAAAAATCACCCACTGCCACCATTAATAAAGGACAACCTTAAAAAACCCCATAAAAATGAAACCACCACTGTTTGTAGTAGCTCGAGTGGGAGCCGCCTCCCGAATGCTTAGTAAGGTGGAGAGGCAGCGGGAGAGGAAGGCGCAGCAGATACCTTTACACCGTGGCTGCAATGATGGGCTCTAACAGCAGCGATTGTGAGGACCGCACAGGACAGGAGTGGTTTGCTCTGTGTGCATAGGCTAGCTGGCATCCATCAACCACCAGTTAGGAGTTTCTGGGCTAGATTGACTCAAACTGAAGAAAGTTCTCTAAGAGACTGCTTCTCGAGTTTTTTGTCATCATCGCTTTTGTAGAAATCTATGCCTTCTCAGAGCCTATTATGATGACTTGGTGGGGAACCAGTCAGTTGTACCTGGGGGGGGGGGAATGTTAATTAAAACGGCCCTAGATTGAGGGAAGCTCTTGTGGCACAGATGCTAGAGAGTTGCACTGCTAACCCAAAGGCATGTCTCTCTGGTGGTTCGAATCCACCAATCTCATAGTTTACAGCCTTGGCAACCCAATGGGGAGGGGCAGCAATGGGTCGTTTTCTAGCAGTGAGTTAAAGAGCTGGAGTAGATTGAGAGATCTATTTGCCCTGGGGAAAGCTGCTATCAGGGATGTCTCAAAACTGCTGAAGAGCAATGATGTCAGTCTGGAGACTAAGGTGCGCCTGATTCAGACTATAGTCTTCGCAATTACTTGCTATGCATCAGAGAGCTGGACAATGAACAGAGATGACAGAAGACAATTCTTGGGTTGTGGTGCTGGAGAAGAGTGTTAAACATATCATGGATTGCCAAGGGAACACACATGTTTATCCTGGAGACGGTTAAATCAGGCTGCTCCTTGGAGACAAGGATTGTGACGCTTTGTCTCACATTCTTTGGGCATGTCGTTAAGGAAGGACCAGTCCTTGGAGAAGGACATTATTCTTGGAAGGGTCGAGGGACAGTGCAGGAGAGGAAGACCTGGAATGAGATGGATTAATACTAACTGGTAATGAGGGTAGGTGTGTCGGAGTCAGACTGGCTCAGGACAGAGCTGAGTTCAGAACTTTTGTATACAGGGGTCGCTATGAGTCGCAGGCGACTGACCTGATGGCACATAACAGCTGTGTTCCGAAGGGAATTGACTACATAAACGGGAAGTAATTTCATGCCCTTTTAGCATATAAAAATATCTTGCCTCGATCTTACAAAGTTTAGGATGTGGAGTCCACTCTAGCTCTTGGTGGTCGGTTAGGGATCAAAGGCTATCCGACCTGAGATCCCAAGATTAGCACCCTCTGATTCCCTTAAGCCATCAGGGGCTTTGCACATCGGGAATATATAAGTAATGGCATTTCCATTTTTAGTTTCATTTTAGGGTCTCTTTCCCTCGTCAATCCCCAAACCTCCAGAAGTTAGAACTCGTATCATAGATTCAGCCAGAAAAAGAGCTGACAGTCTTGAATCCACCAGCTGCTCCGCAGGAGTAAAATGAGCCATCTCCTCCCTTGAGATTTACTGCCTTTGAAAATGCAGAGGGTCAGCAAAAACATCACATTTAAGGCTCCTGGAGCCCTCGGGGGACAATTCTGTTAGCTATCAAGGGTTATCTCTAGCAGACTGCGGCCGCCGGTCTTTAGGACAAGGCGTCTCACCTGGTATCTTCCAGGTCGGAAGTCAACGCCATGGGGCCAACCCACATAGGATGGGCGGGGGAATGAGGGCTGAGATCGCGGCTGGGTGCGAGTTTGTGCTATTAATGAGGCCAGGAGGCGACCAAGCCCTGAGGCCCAGGCGTGGCTGCAGGGTAAGCTGGCCAGAGGAAGGGTCCCCGGCGACCGTGTCTCAGAACGGGAAGCCCGAGCCCGATGGCGCGGCGACTTCCCGCGCGGGGCTGGACCCTGTCACGGAGCATCCGCCTGAGCCAATAGAAGCTCGAGATACGTATGACTCACCACGCCAGAGCCAATCAGCTTGACGCGCGCGCCCGCCATCATCTCGCGCTATAACTGGGAAGACTTGACAATGAGAACCTCCCTTGGAATGAAAGCTCTGTTTCCCCGCCCCTCGGCCTGATGCCGGATGCTAGGGGGCCGAGAGATTCCTCCGCGCTCCCCGCCACCGAGGGCGCCAAAGTAGTCCTCGTTTTTTATCTGGAGGCTTTGAAAATAACTTTCTTTTAATAATTAATTCCTGGATATGAAAGGTGGGATGGAAACGATAAAGTCATCACATAGGTGAAACAAAGGGGGAGGGCGGCAAAGGTCACGTGTTCGCGGCGGAGGGACATGGCTGTGATGTGGCCGCAGGGGCGGAGTCTATAAAGGGCCTGCGTAGGCGCCGCGGCCATTTCTCCTCCTGCCTTTAGATGTCTAGTACGCTCGTGTCCCGCGACCATTCCTCCCCGCCCGTAGGGTTCGCGGCCACCATGGCGTATTAGAGGCAGCAGTGCCTGCGGCAGCATTGGCCCTTGCAGCAGCGGCAGCAGCACCAGGCTCTGCAGCGGCAACCCCCAGCGGCTTAAGCCATGGCGTGAGTATCGGGGCCGGGCACCCGGGCTGGGTGGACACGGCTGGGCGCGGCCGCAGGTCGGCGGCGTCGCGCGGGGGACAAGCGGTTTTACGAGCGCCCGCGACGCGAGGCCCCTGTTTGGGTGTCGCCGAGGCGCCGCGTGGGAGGGCCTCCCCCCGGGTCCCCGCTCTCCCGGCACCCCGAATTCATCCAGATCGCCGCGCCGCCGCCCCGAGAAACGTGGCAGCAGCCAAGATGGCGGCGGGGCGGGGCGGCGTGTCCGGTGTCGCCATGTCCTCGCGCCGCGACACGCCGTCCATCTTGAGTGCAACCGGAGCTGGACGCGGCGGCCCGAGTGTCCGCCCCGCGCCCCCAGGATACCCCCTCCGTGCCCCGCAGGGTCCCCGCCCCGAGTGTCCGCCCTTCGCCCCGCAGGGTCCCCGCCCCGTGCCCCCAGGGTACACCGTCCGTGTCCCGAGTGTCCGCTCCATCGCCCCGCAGGGTCCTCACCCCGTGCCCCCAGGGTACACCGTCCGTGCTCCGAGTGACCGCTCTATCGCCCCGCAGGGTGTCCGCCCCGCGCCCTGCAGGGTTCCCGCCCCGTATCCCCAGGGTCCCCCGTCCGTTCCCCGAGTGTCCGCTCCGTGGCCCGCCTGGTCCCCCCTCCGCGCCCCCGGTGCCGGCCCGGCTCTGATGGCCGCCTTGCGCTCTGCTCCTCGCAGGCTTCTCACGGCATCCAGCAGCAGCCTTGCTGTAACCGACAAAGACACCCTCGAATCCAGCACACCCCTCGACTCCCGCAGAGCCCCGCACCACAGCCGACATGAGCTACCTGAGCGGCGAGGGCTTGATGGGGGACTTGATGTCCTCCTTCAGCCCGTCGGCTTCGGGGGCTGAAGACAGCCTGGGTCTCTTAGACGACTATCTGGAGGTGGCCAAGCACTTCAGAGCGAACGAGTTCTCCAGGGACAAGGCGGGCTCCTCCCAATGGTTGGCTGCGGACGGGTTGGCCGACGCCTCGGGCAAGGGTAGGTGGCCACACTGGTGTCCGCAGTGTGGCCTGGGCTCCATCATGGGGTCGGGGGTGGGGCGCCTCTCCTCTCACATCATCTCTTCTGGGTTTTTTTTTTTTCTTCTGCAGAGGATGCCTTCTCCGGGACAGATTGGATGGTGGAGAAAATCGATCTGAAGGGGTTTGACTTTGATTCCTTGTTCAACTTAGAAGATATGGAAACCATGCCAGACGAGCTCTTGGCCACGTTGGACGACACATGTGATTTCTTTGAACCCCTAGTCCAGGAGACTAATAAGGAGCCCCCCCAGGCAGTGAACCCAATTGGCCATCTCCCAGAAAGTCTACTACAAACAGACCAGGTTGCCCCCTTCACCTTCCTGCAGCCTCTTCCCCAGACCCCAGAGGTCCTGGTAGCCGCTCCAGACCATGCCTTTCACTTAGAGCTGGGCAGTGAAGTGGATATCTCTGACTCTGATAGGGACAGGAAGGCAGACACAGCTTCTTATGTCACCGTCGTCCCCCAGTGCATAAAGGAAGAGGACACCCCCTCAGATAATGACAGTGGCATCTGCATGAGCCCTGAGTCCTACCTGGGATCTCCCCAGCACAGTCCCCCCACCTCAGGCGGCTCCCCAAGCAGGAGCCGGCAGTCTCCAACTGACCTTGGTGGTCCTGCCCGCCCCAAACCCTATGACCCTCCTGGAGAGAGAACAGTGACAGCAAAAGTAAAGGGAGAGAAATTGGATAAAAAGTTAAAAAAAATGGAGCAGAACAAGACAGCAGCCACTAAATATCGCCAGAAAAAGAGGGCAGAGCAAGAGGCCCTCACTGGGGAGTGCAAGGAGCTAGAGAGAAAGAACGAGGCCCTGAAAGAGAAGGCAGATTCCCTGGCCAAGGAGATCCAGTATCTGAAAGACTTGATAGAGGAGGTCCGCAGAGCCAGGGGGAAGAAAGGCTCCCCTAGTCTGGGGCAGCAGGAGTGTGCTTGTACATAGGCTTGCGCTGAAGCGGTTGTAATAAATTATTTTGTAGTCAAGAGTATTAAGGTGTTGTGCTCAAATTCCCACTTGATACTGTGACTTCATCTGTCCTTGGGAGATGGGTGGGTGTCCAGACAGGCCTATGAGGGCTGACTGGGTGTGCCCTCCGGAAGTTGATCACTTAATTTGGGGTGCGGTGTGGTGTGTTCTTGTGGTCATTGCTGTGCCGCCTTGTGGCTTGCTGGATGGTATTCACTGGGTTGCAATCTCTACCCCCTCCTGGTGAGAACACTGTCCCAGGAGGGGAACTGGAAGGCTGCTGGGATCCAGACTTGTTCCAATCCTGGACAAGTCCAGCTGACGGGGGAGGGCCTAGACCTTAAGTATGTTGCCAAGGAATAATTGAATACAAGCAGGTCCATCAGGTCTGGGCACTTTCTTCGTATCCTTGGAGACAAATACCTTACCAACCAGTTGTGTGTCTTAGTGGGACCAGACCTGTAAGAAAGGACATACTGGGGACCTTAGAGAAGGATAATCTTCATGTCCCCACAAAGCACAAGGGCATGGATGGACAGGGGTCTTTGGCATAGTGGTAAGTAGAGAATTTGAACTCCGAACACTGGAGGGATTTGGAGATAATGCCTTGGGGCTTCAGTTGAGGCCCACGTGGGCCCCCTGGTGGAGAGCATGAATACCCCTTGAGCCTGATAATCAGGTCTTCATTGAGAGTCCAGAATTCCCATAAAGCTGCTTATCACCCTCAAATCCTGAGAAGCTCGCTCTGACCTTAAACCTTGATGGATTTACTGAAGTTAGCTATAGGCATACATAGAAAAGCTTTTTTTCCAGTGTTTTTTAACAAAACGTCCTTGTTAGGGAGCTCTGGTGGCCTAGAGGCAAGAAGCTGCGCTACAGTCCTGAAGTCACGGTTTGAGTCTGCCAGCTGCTCTGGGAATATATTCTGCAGTTAACTTGCCTCTGGAAACCTGCTCAAGGGTCAGCTGTGGGTATTGAATGGTACACAACAATCCCTGTTAGACTGAGAAAACGAGGCTGGGGCTTGCACAGGCAGGAAGTCTGACAGTTAACCAGAGGTGGCCTGGGCACCCTCTAGCAGGAAAGGAAGCTGTCGAGGCTTCTCTTAGAGCTGGGTGTCCCTGTCCTCAGCGTTCTAGGGGCAGCAGGCCTGGCCTGGGGGACATGGGGTGGGAATGAGAACCCTAAGAATGCCCTAGTTACCTTGAACAATCATGGAGTCATGGGATTGGTCTTGGAGACAGTCAACTCATATGGTAAAGGAGGATCTGAGAGGTGCAGTGCAGACTCCAGGGCCTGGTGCTGGGCTGTTCCTCTCTTAGCCTCTGAAGCCAAGGCAGCCCTGGACCTAAATGATAGGGACAAGAGAGCTGTGGACTGAGCCCACATAGCACAGTGGGGCCTGTCCATGTCCACCTCCATGCTGTGCTCCCACCTAGCAGCCTTCTGCATCCCTGAAGGTTCACTGTTGTCCCAGGAACTTCTCATTTGCTGTCTCATGACTGCCCTCCCTCTTGCCCCAAGCAAGTCTCTAACGTCACCCCAGATGAGACCATCCAGGACTGCCTCTGTCACAGAGCCTCTGCTTTGCCTCGCTGCAATTTTTTCATAAACCCTATTTCTTTAGTAATCTGTAGAGTTCTGCTAACTCAAAGGGTGTCTCTGCTGATTCAAACCCTCCCGTGACTGTGGGAGAAAGATGGGTCACCCTGTCCTGTGAAGACAGCCTTGGAAAACCCAGTGGAGGGTCAACTAGGCGTTGGTTCCAGTTCCCTGCTACCGACAGACTGGTGTTGCACCAAGCAGCTGCTAAAAAAGGAGGCAGGCTTCCATAAAGATGTTGCCCAGGAAACGGTGCAAGGCAGTCCTAATGAGTGCTAGGGGGTCGATGAATAGGCATCAGTTTGGTGGCAATGAGTTTTGGGTGTTTCTAGTTGAACCTATTTGTGGTTAACTATTTTCTACCCTCAACGTTAGGAAGTTCCACAGAGTGGTTTAACTTTTAGGCCTCTTTGAATCTCATTACTCTGTGTATGTGATGGCCAATTCAGGACTTAACATGGAACCCCCAAATCAGCACTCCAGCTTGTTTGTGGACACACTCAGGTGAGGATGTGCACAGAGCTGAGTGAAGCTGGAGTTGCCTCCGGCCACCTGTTCCCAGCTGAGGATGACCAGGTGACGTTGTACCTTCCTGTTCCGGCTCTGGCTGGTAAACGTGTCTTTTACACAATCTATTTAGCACCACTTAAATCGTTTTTTTCTTGCGTTCTTTGGTGATTTCACTGTTGAAGATGGCCCCCAAATGCGATGCTAGGCATGAGCTGGGCCCTTAAATAGAAAACAAGCCGCTCTCAGACAGGCCATCAGGAGGGGTGCTCTCAAGAAGTGGGGGAGCCCAAGCAAACGAATGACTTGGGTAGAAGCCTGAGGCAGGGCACAGCTCACCCAGGGCTTGCAGCCCTGATAAGGACTGCAGTGTCACCACCCAGGCGCTGTGCTGCCACTGCAGTGGCCCCACATCTACCACAGGTGCTGGAACCAGGAGGTTTGTGGGCCCTGCCCTCCCAGACTGCTCCATGGGTGTCACCTGGCGAGTGTGATTTCCGGGGCACACTGCCGTCCTAGCTTGGTGGGTGTGGTCGGACCCCCTACCCCCCAAGTGTTAACGGCAATTATGTAACAGGTGTGGCCTGGGAAGGAAGGGGCCCTGAGCTCCCCCTGGGGTTAGCTGTTGTTACAGCAGCAGCTTCCTGCTAAGCTGCTTAGTGAAGGGGCCCAGGATGTCCCTTCAGCCCACAGGGCATGCTGATCCCTGCTCTGGGCAAACCCAGCTGAGGCAGGCCTGGCCCCATCCCGCCTGTCCCCCCTTCCCAGTGGTGGCAGGGCCTCTCAGCTCAGCTGTGGCTACTCCCGTCCTCACTCTGGATGGAAAACCAGTTTCCGTGGGTCCTCCATGGGGCTGGTGCCTATGGGGGGAGAACGTCAGCGCTGGGGGCTGTGAACACTGAAGCTTGGGGAGTGGCTGCGGGTGAAAAACTCTTCCATTAAGTACAGATCACCTGCATGCACTGGGACCACACATCGGGGGTCTCATCTTGGTAGATGGTCAGCCCCCCACCGGATTTCCTACCCGACACCACTGAGAGTCAGGCCTCTCCTCCAGCCCCAGAGGGTTTCGGAGATGCACTAGGTCGGCAGCGGACTTCAGCCTTACCATTCCTTTCTGCACGTGCACGTCTCCAAGGCCTGCTAGTTGGGCAGTGCCTTTATGGGGTGCACTTGCACCCCCAGGCACAAACCCGAGTGTGAGAGGTGGCCTCGTAGGCTAGTTCTTGAGACCCCTCTCCCTCAAACGACACCAAATCTGACCCATCTTGTGCCGTGTGACGGGAGGTGTGGCAGAGGACAGTAGCAGGCCTGAGATGCCCCAGGTGAAGGGTTTGGACCTTGGTGGCAGCTTTTCCTCCCAGACCAGTGACCCCAAACTGTACAACATGAGCTGGAAGGGGAGGGTCTTCTGGTGGCACTCAGGTCACGTTAGGTGACCAGCAGTCACATGAGCATCACACAGGCAGCTCTCGAGCCCACATTTATTAGTGCCTGGGAGACCCCCCCCAGCACCCTGCCTCCTCTTCAGGGTGTGGCTTCTAGGGCCAGGAACTGGTCTTATTCCACAGAAAACAGCCCATGGGCCCTCCCTGAGCAAAAGCAAACAGAAATGTTCCCTTCCAGCGGGTGCCATGGCTCCTCCCATGCCTGCAGCAGTCAGCTCCAAGCGGAGTAGAAACATTCCAGGGTTTTCCACTCGCCAGCTCCAGTCCAGCCTCCACTGCAATCCAGTTCCAGGTCTTCCCCGGGCCAGCTGGCTCTGTAGTGCCATCTGCCGACCATGCTGTGCATAGCCGGGGTCCTAGTTGCCAAAGTACTCCTGCTGAAACTTCTGGAAGTCTTCCTCTGTGAACACGGTGCCCTCAGCCTTCTTCTTCTTTGTCTTGACCACAGGTCTGTCGCAGGCCTTGCGGCCCCGGTTCTGAAGTAGAATCTGGGGACAGACGTTATGGTTCTAAAATTACCCTTGAAGCAGAAAGCATGGCAATGTTGCCCTATGTAGTGTTTACCAGGCCTGGGGGTGGACACAGCACTCCCCCAGACAGGAGGGCTAACCGAGGCCCTCAAAGGCCCAGGAGAGGACAGGGCGGGCAGGGCCCTGCCTCCACTGTGACCTGTGGCTTGGCTCTCTGGGGTCCCCCTGGCCTCAGGCTGTTACCCCAGGGGTCCCAGGGTACAGCCTCAGCCATGACCCCCAGGCTCCCTCACGCAGCCCAGCTCCCAGCCAACCTTCCGGGTGATGGTCTTGTCCACAGTGCTTCTCGCACAGGCCAGGAGCTGCAGGTTTTCTCTGAGATGGTCTCGGCATTCTCGCTTCTGGTACTCGGCTGTGGGGGCAGAGGGAACTTCATTTCAGGTTCACTCCCGGGCAGCCTCTTGGGACCCCACTTCCCCTGGCCCTGCCAAAGGCCCTGCCATCTCCTCCCCTCTCCAAATCCACTCTCCAACAAATCCCACCCAAAGCCCCTGCCTCCTCATACAGTGTATTTCCTTACTCAGCGAATATGCCCCAAGCCTTTCCAATATGCCCCATTTCCAAGTGCCAGACTTAGCAGGAGACAGAACAGGCAAAACGCCTCGCCCTCATGGAGCTTACATCCCAGTGGGAATGGAAGGGTGTCCTAGAAAGTGCTTGATTTCTGAGACAAAGTAAAAGCCAGACTGACAATGCGGGGGAATGGTGCTGCAGAGGGTCCGAGAACGATTCCCTGAAACTTTGTTGAACCAAAGACTCAAGGGTGTGCCATCTGGGGAACAGCATTCTTGGGAGCCTGAAGAGCCGGTGAAGCAGACGCGCGACTTAGAACAGAGAAGGTGGGCCTGGAAGGGGAGCAGGCAGAGATGACAGGGGGGTCAGATCACACAGGGTCCATCTGCTGTGGTGAGAGCTCTGAGGATGACAGAGGTCACTGAAGGCTGTGGGACAGCAGGCAGGTCTGAATTAGGGAGATTTCTAGGCTCATGTTGGGTCTGCAAAAAGAAGAAACAGACACGTCTTGCAGAAAGCACAGCCAGAGTGCTCCTTGGAGGCAAGGATGTCTCATCTCACACACTCTGGGTGTGTTGTCAGGAGGAGTTATTCACAGAACCAAGGTTGATGAAGGCAGTAGCAAAAAATAAGGCCCCAGGAATCAACGTGATACCAGCTGATGTAGTTCAACAAACAGATGCAGCCCTACAAGTGCTCAAGAAGCTATGCTAGGAAATCTGGGGGACAGCCACTTGGCCAACTGACTGGAAGAGATCCATATTGGTTTCCATATCCAGAAAAGGTGATCCAACAGAATGTGGAAATTACCAAGCAATTATCATTACTATCACATCAAAGTAAAATCTTGCTGAAGATCACAAAAAAAAACTGCTAGAGCATTATTCACCATCACAAGAACATGGAAACAGCCCAGACGTACAACCACAAACTAATGGATTCAGAAGCTGTGGTACATTCATACAATGGAATACTATGCAGGCACAATGATTATGTAAATTTCTACTTAACTTAGGAGGGACTGGAGAGTATTATGCTGAGCGAACAAACTCAGTCCCACAAGGAAAGATACTGTATAAAATAACCACTACTGTAGAATGAGTATGAGGATCTGGGTGGGGGGAGGATGGAAGCAGAGGGGTAAGGATGGGTGGGTGGAGTGGGGTGTTGATCACGGGGCTGCACAATTTGATGGGTGGGGGGAGTGAAGAAGTGGGAAGGATCTTTTGTGAAAAACAATGTATTTAAACTTTGTAAATAAATCAGTATGAAATTAAAAAAACCAAGCAAACAAAAACAAGCCCCAAAACAAAACAAAAAACCCTTGCTAAAACAGTCCAACAACAGAGGACTGCCAGAAATTTAAACAGGATTTCAAAAAAGCTGTGGCACAAAGGATGTCAGATGGATCTTGTCTTGAGAATACCAAAAGAATGTCTATTTGTATTTTGACTGTTCAAAGGCATTTAACTGTGTGGATCATAACAAATTACAGCTGAGAGTGAGAAGAATGAGAATCTCAGAACACATAATTGTGCTCATGTGAAACTTAGATCAAAAAACTGGTACAAGCTTACAGCAAACATGGCATGGTTTAAAATCAAGAAAGATGTATCCTTTCTCTGCATCTATGCAATCTGAACGCAGTACAAATCATTCAAGAAGGTGGACGATAATGAAGAAGAATGTGGCATCAGATCAGAAGAAGACTCATCAACCTGCGTTACGCAGATGACTCAACCTCGCATTGTTCAAAGTGAGGAACTGACACATGCTGTCGAGGATCAAAGATCCCCAAAACGGGTTACATCTTAACATCAAGAAAACAAAAATCTAGGCGCCGGAGGCGTCTCCTCCGAGGGCGAGGAACGGAAGTGTAGGCAAAGGTCCGAGACGTCGCCGCCAAGCTGGGCACCGGGGAGATGGCCGAGACCGACCCTACGAACGTGCAGGACCTCACCTCGGCGGTGGAGACGCTGCTGCAGCAGATGCAGGACAAGTTCCAGACCATGTCCGACCAGATCATCGGAAGGATTGATGACATGAGCAGTCGCATCGATGACCTGGAGAAGAACATCGCGGACCTCATGACCCAGGCTGGAGTGGAAGAACTGGAAGGTGAAAATAAGGTCCCTGCCACCCGGAAGAGCTGAAGGCCGCTCATCACTACCACTGAGATTCGCACCATCATTCTTAACAAGCCAGAAGACTGAAGGCTCTTCCCATCTAATTACTACGTATAGATAATTTTCTATTATAAAGTGTGCATTCGTACCATAAATCATAAAAAAAAAAAGAAAGAAAACAAAAATCTTTACCACTGGGCAAATGAGCAACATGTCAGATGGGTAAGAGACAGAAATTATCAATGACTTCATCTGGCTTGGATCCACAGTCAACATCCTTGGCACGAGCAGCCAGGAAATCAAAAGATGAGAAATGCCTGTTGTCCAGGACTCTCCAGAGTGCTGAAGAGCAAAGATGGAAGGCTGAAGTCTAAGGTGTGCCTGATTCAAGCCGTGGTCTTTTGAATCACTTGCTATAAATCTGAGAGTTAAGACAATGAATAAGGAGGACAGAAGAATCGATGCCTGTGAGTTGTGGTGTTGGAGAAGACTGCCGAATATTTCATGACTTGTCAAAGACAAATAGATGTGTTTTGGAAAAGGTGCAGCCAGAGTGCTCCTTGGAGGCAAAGAGTGAAACTCTGCCTCACATACTGTGTCAGGAGAGACCAGTCCTTGGAGAAGGATATCATGCCTGGAAAGGTAGAGGGCCAGTGAAACTGGGGAAGACCCTTAATCCAATGGACTGACACAGAGACTGTAACTGTGGGCTCAAGGGTGTCAGAAGTGATGAAGATGACAGAGGAATCAGATCTGTTGTTCACAGGGCTGCTGTGAGTCATTGCTGACAGCACTTAAAACATTCCTTGGAAAAGAACAACATGCATGGAAAGAGACAGCAAAGGGGAGGAAGACCCTCAGACTGACCCAGTGACTGCAGCAATGGGCCTGAATATGTCAAGAGTAGATGAGGCCGGCACAGGATAAGGAAGGGTTCCGATCTGCTGTTCAGACAGTCTCTGAGTTGTAGCTGACTTGATTAACACCTAACATTCCTTGGAAAGGGACAACGTGCTTGGAAAGGTTGGAGTCCAGAAGTCCAGCTCCATCCTCCATCTCTCCAACTCGTTCGTGATCTCTGCTGCTTTGCCACTGACCCACCCAGCCATAATGCCTCCTTCTTGAAGAGGACAGGTAAGAGCATGGACCTGCTCTACTTTCAAGTCCAGCTTTGCTACTGACTGACTGTATGAAAAGAACCATGGAAGCAACGGTCAAGAAATCAAACAATTGGTTGCATTCGGCAAATGTGTTGCAAAAGATTGTTTAAGGGCAAAGCCACCAGTTAGGACTCAGGTGCCCCTGATCCAAGCTGTGGCGTTTTCAACCGCCTCATGTTTTAGAAAAAGTGCAACCACAGTGCTCTCTGGAGGCAGAGACGGCAAAGCTTCATCTCTCATACTTGGACATGCAGATATGAGAGGCTATTACTTGGAAAAGGATATCATGCTCAGAAAGACAAGGAGGGTCAATGAAAGAAAGGAAGATCCCCCCCAATGAGATGGACTCATATGGTGACCTCAACAACGGGATCCACTGTGTCAGAGATGATGAGAACGGCACAGGTCAGGGCAGGTTCAGGTCAGCTGTTCACAGGGTCAGTAACCGGCTCGACAGCACCCAACAACAGTATTCAAAAAGCTATACAATGAGTAATGAAGACTAAAGAAATGCCTTGGAATTATGGTGTTGTCAAAGAATATGAAATATAGCAAGGACTGACAAAAGAAAAGAAAGCAAGAGAGAAAAAGAGAGAGACAGGAAGGAGGGAGGCAGGCAGGGAGGAAGGAAGGGAGGAAGAGAGGGAGGGAGGGCGAGAAAGAGGGAAGAGGGAGGGGAGGGGAGGGGAGGGGAGGGAAGGGGAGGGAAGGGGAGGACGTAAGTAAGTATGCATGTATGTGTATGTCTTGGAAGCAGGGACGGCGGACCTGTCTCATTTCCTTTGGACACGTGACCAGGAGAGGCCAATCAATGGAGGACAGCAGTCAAAAGGGAAGACTCTCAGTGAGATGGACGCCACAGTGGCTGCAGCAATGGGCTCAGACAAAGGAATCACCATGAGGACGCAGGACAGGGCAGTATACTCTGATGTAGAAACTTAGTGACTCCTAAGGACAACTTTACTTGCTGGAAGGGACTTGCTGCACAAGATCAAACACGGTAGCCTTCAACATGGATTGCATCTCAACATCAAGAAAACAAATGTTCTCACCACAGGACCCATAGGTGACACAATGATAGATGGACAAAAAACTGAAATGGTCAATGACTTCATCTTACTTGGATCCACAATGAATACACCTGGTAACAGCAGTCAGGAACCTCTCCAAACAACCAAGGAGCAGTGATGTTAGTTTGAGGACTAAGGTGTGCCTAATTCAGACCATGGTCTTTTCAATCATTTGCTATACAACTGAGAACTGGGCAATAAATAAGGATGACAGCAGAAAAATCGATGCCTTTGAACTACGGTGTTGGAGGACATACTGAATATTATATGGACTGCCTAAAGAACAAACAGAAACGTCTTGGAGGAGATGAAGTCAGAATGCTCCTTGAAGGCAAAGATGAAAAAGCTTTATGATTGCATCAATGAATGAATGGAAATTCAAGTTCTCTATAAACTTTCATTAAAATCTTAATTAAAAAAAGCAAGCTTTAGGGAGCTCTGGTGGGCTAGTGGCAATCAGAATTCTTGCCTCCAAAGAGCAGCCTGGCTTCACCCTCTCCAAGACCACCTTGTTTGTTCTCCTAGCAGTCCATGGTATATTCAGTACTCTTCTCCAGCACCAAAGCTCAAAGGCATCAACTCTTCTATCATCCCTAGTCAGTGTTCAGCTCTCTGAAGCATAGCAAGTAATGGCAAAGACCATGGCCTGTATCAGGAGCAGCTTAGTCTCCAGACGGACATCGCTGCTCCTCAGGACCTTGGAGAGGTCTCTAACTGCAGACCAATGCAATTTGTCTCTTAATTTCTTGGCTGCTGGTACCAAGAGGGTTGATTGTAGAGACAAGCAAACTAAAGCTGTCAACAATTCCAATCTCTTCACCATCTATCATGATGCTGCCAATCGACCCCCCCCAAATAATAAAATTAAAAAGATTTTAAAAAAGCTTTATCCTACATACTTTGGACATGCTGCTAGTAAGGAAAGGACATCATGCTTAGAAAGCAGGGGGGAGTGTGAAGGAAAAGATCTTCAACCAGATGAGCTGACACAGTGAGTGGAGCAATGGGCTCCAGTGTGACAGAGATTGTGAGGATGGCACCGAACAGGGCAGGGTTCAGATCGGCGGTTCACAGGGTAGCTATGAGTTCAACTAAAGTGCACTTAACAACAACCCAAGAAAGGCAACCAACCCCTCATTCCTTCGGATCTCACCTTAAATGGTCCCGAGAACCTATTTTGGTCTTTTATTCCAAGATGCCCTTAACACACTCCCCACAGCACCCCATCTCACTTCTATCAACTAGATTTTAATGCTTCTCTCCCGACGAGGACTCAATCAACGAGGGTGGGACGGTCTGTTTGGGTTCAGCTCCGTACTCCCTGGACCCCCATCCTCACCCCTAGTACACGGCAGGCAATCTAGAAATCCCTGATGACCGCCCCAAGCCCTGCCTCAAGCGCCACGTCCTCCAAGTCGCTGATCCCAACGAGGAGGCGGCAATTCCAATCCCGCCCCGGGCTTACCCAGTGCCGACTTGGGCACCTTTCCCTTGGCCGAGTTCCGCAGTTCCCGGGCCTGGGCCTTCTTCGCTCTCCGGGCCCGCTTCACCACCGAAGCCCCCTTCGGCTTGGCCTGGCTGGACGCCGGCCGGGAGGCTGGAAGATAAGAGAGGCCCGATCAGAGGGCGGGCAGGATTCCCATCCCACCCCAGTAAGGGCCGTCCTGGCACTTTCTGCACCGCTGCGATTCCGTCCCTCAGCTTCCGCTGCCCACTCGGCAGCACAGGACGTGCCCGGACAAGTCCCCTCACCTTCGGACGCGGCCAGCAGCTCGAGACCCCGACGCAGCAGCGAGGCAGACATGGTGACGCTCAGCTCCGCGGCGCGTTCCGACTACTTCCGCCTTGGCTGTGCGCAGGCTCCCCGGAAACCCGAGCCGGAGCACAAGGTTCCGGAGTAGGTGGCGGAAGTCCCCGCCTTCTTAGGACGCATGCGTTCACTTCGGAAGCGAGGCGAAAGGGGCGGGGACGGGGCGGGCCAATCACAACGCAGATAGCAACTAGTGAGACTGATGTTTTCCGCGTGCGTACCCCGGGCAGTTCAACCTTGTTGGTTAGCGCTCTGTGGGCTCAAGTGGGCGGCCAGGTCGGAGACTGGGTGCATCCGTAGCTTCTCACCTTTCACCAAGGAGGAAACTGAGGCCTGGAGGGAATCCCGTGACGCTTGTTGTTCTTGTAAGTGCTATGGAGCTGAGTACGACCCATAGCGACCCTGTGAACAACAGATCTGAACCTTGTCTTATCTTGTGCCACCCATTGGGGCAGTCACTGTGTCAGTCCACCTGGTTCAGGGTCTTCCTCTCTTTTGCCGACAATCTGCCTTCCCAAACATCATGTCCTTCTCCTAGGAACTGTCTCTTCTAGCAACATGCCCAAAGTATGTAAGATTTTTTATCATTTTTGCCTCCAAGGAGCACTATGACTGTACTTTGTCCAAAATAACTTGGTATTTTGGCAATCTATGGGATAGTCGGTACTCTACTCCAACAGAGCTCAAAGGCATCAATTCTTCTATCATTCTTAGAGGCATAGCAAGTGATTGGAAAGACCACGGCCTATATCACACACATCTTAGTCCTCAAACTGACATCATTGCTCCTCAATAATTTGGAGAAGTCGCTGGCTGCAAACTTTCCCAGTGCAGTGCATCTCCTGATTTCGTGATTCCTGGTACCAAGGATGTTGATTGTGGATCCAAGTAAGATGAAGTTGACTGTTGCAATCTTTCCCCCCATCTATCATGATGCTGCCTATTGGTCCAGTTGATAAGAATTTTTGTTTTCTTGATTTTGAGATGCAATCCATATTGAAGGCTGTATTCTTTGATCTTCTAAAACAAGCGCTTCAAGTTCTTAACTTTCTGCAAGTAAGGTTGTATGTATTTTGCTTGCATGTAATATTAATATTTGTTAGAAATTTCCACATTCTATTGGATTACCTTTCTTGAGAATGGGAACAAATATGGACCTCTTCTAATCAGTTGGCCAGATAACTGTCCTCCAAATATCCTAGCATAGACCAGCAAGTATACCAGTGCTGCATCTGTTAGTTGAAACAAGTCAACCTGCATAACACAGGTTGTTGATGAGTTTTCCTCAGATATTGATGCCACATTCTTCTTCATAGAGTCCAGCTTCTTGATTCATTTGCTCGGCATACAAATTGAATAGTTACAGAGAGAGAATACAACCCTGATGCACTCCCTTCTTAATTTTAAACCATATAGTGTTCTCTTGCTCTGTATGCACAACAGCCTCTTGATCTAGGTATAGGTTTTACATGAGCACAGTTAAATGCTCTGGGATTCCCATTCTTTTCAATGCTAGCCATAACTTTTTATTATCCACATAGTCAAATGTTTTTGCATAGTCAATAAAGCACAAAGAAATATTCTCTGGATAGTCTTTACTTTCAGCCAGGATCCATCTGACATCAGCAATGATATCCCTGGTGCCATGGCCTCTTCTAAATCCTGCTTGAAGTTCTGGAAGTTCCCTGTCTATGTCCCTCTCTAGCTGCTTTTGAATGGTCTTCAGCAGTATTTTGCTTGCATGTAATATTAATATTTGTTAGAAATTTCCATGTTCTATTGGATTACCTTTCTTGAGAATGGGAACAAATACGGACCTCTTCTAATCAGTTGGCCAGATAACTGTCCTCCAAATATCCTAGCATAGACCAGCAAGTGTACCAGTGCTGCATCTGTTAGTTGAAACAAGTCAATTAATTCCTGGAGCCTTATTTTTCGCCAGTGCCTTCAATGCAGCTTCTATTTCCTCCTTCATTACTATTAGCACCTGTTCATATCTTTCTTCCTGAAATTTTTCAGTGTTGTCAGTTCTTTTGGTACAGTGATTCTGTATTCCCTCCATCTTCATTTGATGCTTCCTGGATCATTCAACATATTGCCCATAGGATGTTTCAATATTGAAACTTGAGGTTTAATTTTGTTTTTACAGTTCTCTCAGCTTGAGAAATACAGAGTGAATTCTTCCATTTTTATTTTCCAATTCCAGTTCTCTGTATATTCCATTACAATAGTTAGTTTGTCTTCTCGAGTTGCCCTTTGAAACCTGTTAAGCTCAATGATCTAGTGTAATTTCCAGAGTCTCTTCTGAATTCCATTTCAGTTTTTTTCTTTCTCCTCTATCTATGTAATAGCCTTTGACTCTTTTCATCAATGATATCCTTGATGTCATCCCACAGCTTATCTGGTCTTAGATCATTGGAGTTCAATGCTTCAGACCTATTCTTAAGATGATTTTGACATTCAGATAGAAGAGACTCAAAATCATATTTTGGTTCATGTGGACTTGTTTTAGTTTGAACTTCCATGAGTAATTGATCTGATCTACAATCTTCTCCTGGCCTAGTTTTGACTGCTGATACCAAACTTCTTCAATGATTCCTTCCACAGATGTGGTCAATCTGATTGCTATGTAGTCATGTGAGGCCATGTGTAAAGTTGCCATTTGTGTTTTTAAAAGAATATATTTGCAATAAATAAGTGATTGAAAAGACAAAATTTGATCATTCTATTTCCAGCCTCATTTCTGTCACCAAGTCTATGGATCATAACAAACTGTGGTTGACTCTGAGAAGAATGGGAATCCCAGAACACTTGATCATTCTAATGCGAAACCTATACTTGGACCAGGAGGCAGTCATCAGAACAGAGCAAGGGAACACTGGATGGTTCAAAATTGGGAAG